ATACATATATTCCCGATGGTTAATTACATCCCAGTACAATCATAATTATTTTTTTTTCTTTTAAATATTAATTTCATTTAGTGTGTCAGGGAACAATATTTTCATTTATTTCATGTTTTAATGATTTTATTGCATAACTTACAATGTGCATGTATTCAAGTTTGGTAATGTAGCTATTATACTAACTTTCACTTCTTTAGGAAGGATGTGGAAGAAATAAAGCAGTAGCATAAACACCTTATTGTATTTATTATATTATATAAACCGTACTATATATCTTGAAGCATAGAAGGTGTAATATACGCTTTCCATATATGAATGTTTTCTATCATATATTGTGTTACACATACATGTATGTATATGTTGATATATATGTCCCATATTTGAAAATGGCCAGTTAAATTTGCATATACATCATGTCAAATATAAGTCCATATTCTCATATATTTTACCCATATATTTCCCTGTATCAGAGAGAGCGCAAAGTTGTTGAGGAGAGTGGAACGCTACCACCTCTCTCCGAACACCTTCAGGTATGTGGATGTACTTTATGCTTCTATTAAAATTATTTTATAAATATATGTATATATATGGGTCATTCTCCATTTTGAGTGGTCACAAAGGTTGCAGGGCTTAAAAAGATGCTTAAAATATGATTTTGGTGTTATGTGCTTTAACGGCTGATTAATTAAAATTTTGTCAATGTATATGTATATGAATACATGTGGTGAATTCTCTTATATTCATCTGGTAACACTTTTTTTTGGCTATATTCTGTTTAGGCTCCTGATGCGGCTGTACAGTCTTCCAGCTTTCTGCCTCCAAAGACCCCGGAAAAGACCCTTGACGCTCTGTTCAGTGCTCGGCTTTTGGGAAATGAAACTCCGGAGCCTGAGCATGAACAGGTGTCCTCAGAGGATGAGGAGAAAACTATGTGTGGGGATCCTAATGACTTCAAGATCCTCGCATTCTTCAAGAAGACAGCTGAGGAGCTGGTCAGATGGCTGGAGTCTGCATTTTGTGTTCGAGTCCCCATGTTTGCCCTTTATGAGCATCTGGTGGCTCATTTGATGGAGGAAGTGGAGATTCTGGCCTGGATAAAAGTTACCTTAGAGGCACCTGATGGGCAGCTCTTCCCTGACGAGATCGATGCCATCTCTTATATTGTCAGTGAAGTGTATGAAGATCTTTTGAAAAAGATTTGGGTACTGGAAATAACTTGTGTCAACCAGGGGACCATCTGTTACATCACTGAAACCGCCCTGAACGCATTTGTTGACTACACCTTGGCCTGCTGTAAAGCAGCAAGAATGTCCCCACACACTGACGCCCTTGAGGAAAGATCACAGGGGGAGCCTGAGGTGCAAGAGGTCTGCAGCACCGTCCTCAGTCAATCCATCAGAGTTCCATCAGAGTTCGAGGAACAGATCCGAGAACTTGGTGGATCTCCTGATGCGACTGATGTGAGTGATGACGAGTGCTCTGAGATCCTCACCGTCTTCCAAACCTACAGGTACAGCCTCATGAAAAGACCCATCAGGAATCTAATGAAAGGTACAGAATCTCCTCTGGAAGCTTGGCCTGATTCGTCGAGCTCCATCCCTGCTGTTCAGGTAAACAGACTGAATTTTGTACTGATTCTGTATTTCCTCTTAAAGTAATGCTCAGTCTCGTATGTTGTTTTACTGACTTAATGCAGTGTGTCTTCTAGGTAACTGAAACCTCTGAGGACTCTGAGGTGGAGAATAATGAAGACCTGGAGGTTCCTGCCTGCCCTGATGGTGAGTCACTCAGTTCCTCTTGAGATTTCATGATGGTCTTTGTCCAAAGTCTCCCAGTGCTCTGAACTGATGTTCTCCTCATTCTCTCTCTGTCTGTAGGTACCACAGATTCCACCACAACCAGAACAAAGAAGAAGTGGAAGAAGCTTCGTACTCGTATCTCCAGCTTCCTGAGACGAGTCTTCTGCTTCGGATGCCTCCCATTTCGGCGCGTGGTACCACTCTGAAACTCCTGAGTCTCCGTCCTCTTTTCATTTTCACCAATTAAAAAGCATAAACCGCATTAACTTTGTGCCCTAAAGTATTTTTGAATGTGTCGTGTTCTGAAAATAAACCCCAGAGTCAGTGCTGAGGTGAAGCCTAGTCTCACATCCCCGTCCAGATTTCACTTCCAAAGGATCCTTGGGCAGAGTTAGAAAGGTAACACATTTAGATTATTATACAAGCCAGAACAGTTAACTGTAAAACTTACTTATTTTAATTCAGTTGTTTGCTAGCACTGTTGCGTTTATGTATGAATATATTTAAGTTCATAAAAAGTTAGGCACATACAGATCTACCTATACCTTTTTAAGGTTCCTCCCAGAGTTGTTGATTGATGGCGCTGATATGAGTGATTCATAAAATAACACTGTGACCAGAAATGAAAAGAAGTAACCTCAGGACAGAACTATGTGATTAGATTCCACATCGGTTCTACCTCATAAGCGACATAAGCAGCTGCTTATGCCCCTGTGGCAACCTGGGGGCCCCCTAACAACTTCTGTGTTACTGCTTTACTTTTATGTTGTCTAAAATACTTGAGTGAGGGGGAAAAAAATAATGTCTCAAAACCAAAAGTACCCATCATAAATAGACTGTGATTAATCCAAGTTTAGAGACTCGGACTGATATTAATCCAGGTTTAGAGACTTGGACTGTGATTAATCTAGGTTTAGGTACTCAGATTGGACAAAACAAAGGATTTAAATATTCTTCATTTTCTTGTTGATGTATGTTCAAATTTTCACGTAAAGTGGTGTGATGATTTTTTGAAAAAACTGCAGCGTGAAGTTTGAGTTTTACATTGCGTTTACATCACGGCTTCTTCTGTGAGTTTATTTGCCGGTTGCAGAGCAGAAATCTGATTACTGTCTGACTCATGTAGACCTGGCGTTTCCCCATTATTTGATTACCCAAGTGCATGTAAACGCATTGATCAGATTACTGACAAAATCTGATTTTCTGCAGTTATCGTATTATTACATGCATGTAAACGCACACTTTATGAAGCAGGGCATGTCAAATGGATGACATTTCTGTTCACTAACAGCATATTTTAGCCATAATTTTTAAAAATATATAGATGTCAGCCTCAATCCCAAAACACAGTCTGTACTGTTTCACATGGTGGTTACATCATATAAATAAAGAGGATAGTAGAGCGCGAGATCATGACTGCTCAAGTTCTCCTCACAGCTTGCTGCTCTCTGTGAGAGTAAAATATTTTAATTCATGACTGAATATTAAAAAAATGTATGTCTAAATGATACACAGCACCGTCTTAAAAGAGAATGTTCATTTTTTAAAGCGGTTCCTGATTTACTGTCACGTTACAGTGGTAAAATCCCCGCTCTAGCTAACACTTTATATTAGCTAAATGCTAACTAGCGAAAATGAGCCATTTATCAGTGATGTATTGAGCTGAGAGACGGGACAGCTCTTGAGAGAACACACACAGAGAAAGAAAAATATTCATCTGTGCTTCTTCCACAAAAACTGGTTGAAGGCACAAGCTTGATTTCTTGCTTTTATTTTTCAGAGCACCCAAAGAGAGAGGAGATCCCATCGTGAAGTGATCCAGTCTTCTGGGGTTTACTCACAGTTTGAGTGTGTGACTGTTTTTACATGGCTGAAAAATCTTTTATGAAGCATTTTATCTTGTTGTTCAATAAATCTGACTAAAGAAAGTAATGTAGAGTGGTATTCGGGAGAAAATGTACACAGGACAAAACGTATCGGGTTCTGAACATTTTTATTTAACACAGGGTGAGATAGAAAACCCTATTCATTCTGGCCATGGAGAAATGGAGTTTAGACCCGGAGTTCCTAATACGGGCATAAGAACATGGCGCCGACTACAAAATGACAACACGACTACAGTGGTTTATACGACTGCAGCACCACTTAAGGTGGAAAAGAAAAAGAATCTGGCAAATAAGGATATGTTGACCAGATTTCTAAAGTGAAGGCCAGGGACATTTGCAGTTCAGCGGTCAATATATCATTAAAATATCCAATGTTTTTATGTATGTATAAAAAAGGGGGACAGTTCCGGTGCCATGTATTTTGACCATTAACGTTACTCTGAGCCGCATGTATGGAAATGAATGAGTTGGAAAGACGTTTGATATTGTGGACTCACGTGTCACAAGCTTTGAGCTTTACACTGAGGTATTTTCTAGAACTGGGAGAGCAAGTAGTACAAGTGGTCAGCAGATGGCAGCAGCCAGCTCCCTCTGTTGGCCAAAACAAGTACAACGTGAAATGTCTGCCTGTCTGTTCTACTGCTGCCAAGCCTTTCTTAGGACTTTCTGATGGACATTTCCGTGGACAGCTCCAGCTGGGGACAGGCCACCAAAAACAGAGACATCTAGTCACCTTGGTTTCTAACCACTGTTTATTGCACCCCCACTACGGAGCCCTACTGTATAAGTAATAATAATGTGTGGTCACGACTTAGTGAAGCATGGAAACGTGATAAATAAGTTCCGGCCACGACTTACTAAGGCGTGGGAACGAGATAATAGCTTTGACCACAGCAAGGCATGATCTTGTTCCCATGCCCTACCTAATGCGTGGCTACAACTTATCTAATTCCCACACCTTACTAAGTCATGGCCACGCATTATTTTTATTTATACGGTATGCCACCAGCAGGGCTCCGTACAACCCAAATCATAAAGACAATGAAGAGTTGCAGTACAGACCGAATCGAAAACGCTTTTTGAGTAGATTCGTGCTCAGCAGCTTGCGAACAGCGCTGGCATTGTTAATTAAACCAACTCCTGCTGCTCAAACTCAGACTCCTTCCTGCTTTACACGTCTCTTAAGCCAATTACGATGAAAAAAAACGAACTCTGAGCATTTCGACTCTTAGAGTCCTTGGCCAAGGGTCGACTCCGTCTCCCAGACGTGTTGGAGCTGAAGAATCGATTCTTTTGGAATCGACTCCCTGTCACTATAGAGTACAACGCTGCCAGTCAATGTGCTATAAAAAGCACATGAAGGATATTTTTCCTTTTATAACACGAATAATTTGTCGGTTTTCTTCTGGGTTCCTTTATTCCGACATTGTCTCACACTGAGTAAGACGTAACTGTATCTTTGACGTCGAAACGCATACCTCTATCACAACGAGGAAGTTGCTGCCTCTCAAACTGAAACCAGCCCAGTCTTGTGTGTGTGTATGTGTGTGTACTGTCCTTTGCTTTGAGAGTGTCGCCAGCCTACATGGAGAAGCTGCTCCTCGTTTCTGTCGCGGGCTCCCCTGAGGGAACATATCTCCACATCATACTGGCTTAAAGTACAATGGTTTGTTTCTTTCCTTTCGCTTCTTAGTGTCAGTCTCGCGTGTAGGTCACAGCTGGTGGGTAAATGGGGGAAGTTGAAAAAGATGTGTAACATATTAGCTAGCACCTCACACTAGAAGTGCTTAAAACTGCCTGGAAGTGTAGAGTTTCTCGCTATTTTTACCACACGTAGAAGAACATGACAGAGAACCAGTCATACTTGAAGTAAATATGAGTAAAAGGGGTGTCCTGCTTTAACCTGTTAGTAAAACTCTTTGTCAGAGCTGAGCATTGTTTACTTTTCACAGGTCATGGGATGAAGTTCTCCGTTTCCTCTGAATAGTGGATAGTGAATGAACGGAGAGCTACAGTGTCACTGAGTCATAAGTTAAAGGTACAGTGAGATTGCTACCAGTTTTGTGATTACTGCAGCATAAAGTATTTGGTTGAAGTGTCTTGAAGGGAAATTCCATCGATTTTTCTAAATTTTAGCATAATTAAACGGTTGAGATGTAAACAGTCATTCAAAGTGGTTTGATAAAGCTACCTACTCAAATTTTTTCACACTCACCAAATCAGCATTTACTGAATCAGCATTATATCACCTTAAGAACATCAACAAGATTAGAGATTTCCAGACTAAACCAGACCTGGACAAACTCACCCATTTGTGTATTTCTAGATAGTCTCTTAAATGGGCTCCCAAAAAAAGACAATTAAACAGCTTCAGCTGATTCAAAATGCAGCTCAAAATGAGTCTCACTATGAGTAAGAGAACACATCACTTCCATTTTTAAATCCTTACACTGGCTACCAGTATGATACAGAATATAAAGTACAATTACTGCTTAATAAATGGCTTAATAGTGTCATTAAGCCATGTATACCCCCCTGACACTGGACACTTTTTACATCTGGGCTGAAAACATTCATATTTGAGCAGGCTTTCAGCTCGCTTTAAAAGCACTTAGAATGACTGCAGTGTATGAAAGGTGCTATATAACTAAACTTGCCTTGCCTTGCCTTACTGGGGTAGTGATAGGAACCAGAGAAGCCAGATATAACCTGTATTTATTATCCAAAATGATCATCCAAATGCTTGCTGAGTTTTTATATGTAATGTTGATAAAGATAAGGGCACTATTTTTCCTTACAACGCCCTGCAAGTACCTCTCCACGATGAAAACATTTTAAAAAATATGTTTTAGGCCCGAACCTTATCTCAAAACTATCGTTTCAGGCATCAGGCAACATACTGATAACCATTTTGTGTAATAACTTGAGAGAGCTTTTAGAAGCAGTAAACTCTGAAGACCCCTGGTTCCTGTCACTACCACTGTGAACAATTCTGACTTGGTGAGTTTCACTACAGCTGAGCATTTCATGTCAAACCACTTTGATGTCTTATTAACAAATTCATAACCTATAATTAATTTAAGTGACTCCCATGTTAAGGTCTATAGTAATTTTGTTCTTATTGTGACTGAAACACAATTGAGAGGTTGAATACATGAGGTTGTACATATATGGACTATGCCATAGGTTCATGATTTGCATTTAAAATGCAAAACAACTACGATCATGACTAGTCTGCTGTCAGACCTAAAGGTGAGTTGAGCTTTCCAAGCCACATTGACGTGTAGGTCCTCTGTACACAGTGTTCGGTTAAGCAGTGAGCTGAGTATTTCTCAATACCTTTTCCTGCTTTAGAGCTTAAGGAATGCTTTTAGAGATAATGTGCTCACAGAGAAAAAATGTATGAGGCCTTGTTCTTCTTGGCAGGGGGGACCACCATGACGGCAAGTACGGCGCACCATCTTTGGTCCCTTGAAGACATTCTTGGTCAGGGAGCAACAGCAAGTGTCTACAAAGCACGAAATAAAGTATCTGAACTCTTTCATGCTTTGATCTCTTGTTCTCAGACATTGAAGTGGTGTCTTAGATGTGCTGACCTATATACAAACTCTGCTCAGTGTACAGCAAGTGACTCAGATGTTGTCTTCCCTCCATCTCTTTAAAGAAAACAGGTGAGCTGGTTGCGGTAAAAGTTTTCAACATGGCCAGCTACAGCAGACCGTATGAGGTCCAGATGAGGGAGTTCGAGATATTGAGGAAGCTGAATCATGCCAATATTGTCAAACTCTTCGCAGTGGAGGAGGTGGTTATCTGAGGGGCTTTGTGACGTTTCTCAGCCCTCATCTTCTAGTATGTGTGTGGCTGCGTGGGTGTGTGCTTGTTTCTGATTGTCTGCTTCTCATAGTGTTCAATTTTCCGTGACCTGTTTATATCTAAATGCTGGGCCCTGATTGAATTTCAGACAAACAAACAAATGAGATGAGCTGAATTCAGGACATTACGTCAGTCCCACACAAGCATCTGTATTGAAGTTTAATTAAAATCCCATCCCCGTCTCACTTCAATTTGCTTTTGTTTTTGTCTTTTGAAAGATGCACATGAACCCCAAGCAGAAGGTTCTGGTGATGGAGTTTTGTTCAGGAGGAAGTTTGCTGAGTGTGCTGGAGGAGCCGGAGAATGCCTTTGGTCTGCCTGAATCAGAATTCGTAATAGTGCTGCAGTGTGTAGGTAAGCATATCACCATCATAAGAAAACCTTGTGTCTCCAAACTCGTGACTTTACATGAGAATCATGTCACTTCAGTCACTGAAATGCTAGCTAGTAGAGCAATATTTGAGCAACATTTGTGACTTCATTCAAAGTCACTTAGATATTTTTTCTCTAGTAACAATTAACAACAGCTATATCTGGACCAAACTAAATTATGTAACGTTTAATAAAAGCTCTGAAATGAATTATTATTAATGTATAAAATCTCGAAAAGGTAATTGAACCCTGACATCAGAATCGAAAACATATCAAACCTCAAAATATGTGCTGGTAATTGCAAATGGTATTAAAAATGTAATTATAAAGTTTTAATATGATCACAACCGTATCTTTAGCTCTACGTCAACCAAGTTTTTATTATACACTACATGGCCAGAAGGATGTTGACACATGAGTATCAAAGCTATATAAACTTACTGGACCAAAACCATGAGTGTTAATATGAAGTTGGCCCCCTTATTGTGCCTAAAGCAGCCTCCAGTCTTTTGTACCCATTTCATTAAAACAACATTTGTGAGGGCAGGCACTGATGTTGGGCGAAGGGGCCTTCCCCATACTGTAGCCATAAAGTTAGAAGCACATGATTGTCTAAAATATCTTAAGCATTAAGATATAGTAGCATTAGCATTACCCTTCACTGGAACTAAGGTGCCTAGCCCAAACCATAAAAAAACAGCTCCAGACCATTATCCCTCCTCCACCAAACTTTAATGTTGCACTCTGCATTCCAGTAGGTAGCAGTGTCTGGGCATCCTCTAAACCCAGATTCCTCCATGAGACTGCCAGGTAGTGAAGCATGCATCATCTTTCTAGGGAACACATTTCCACTGCTCCAGAGGCCAGTGGCGGTGTACTTTACACCTCTCTAGCTGACGCTTGATATTGCACATAGTGATCTTAGTCTTTGCAGCTGTTCGGCCATGGAAACCATTTTCTTGATGCTCCCAACGCACAGTTTCTCTGCTGATGTTGCTTCCAGAGGTAGTTTTGAACTCTGTAGTGAGTGATGCAACAGAAGAGTTTTACATTTATAGTTGCTGATCTCATCAATACAACCCATTCTGCTGCCACTGTTTGTCAATGGAGATATAATCATGCTTGGAGATGCATGGCTGTGTGCTTGATTATAGTCACCTGTTAGCAATGGGTGTGGCTGAAACACCTAAACTCAATTATTAGGAGAGGAGTCCACATACTTTTGGCTATATAGTGTGTATACGCAAAGCTGAACTGTAGATTTAGTAGTAAACTGACATCAGCATTAGGTCCAACAATCTTGATGTGGTAGAAATGGTCTGTGACCTTCTGAGAACGTCTCAGTTTTGCCATTGATTGGGCATCTCTTTGTTTCACAATCGTAGTTCATGGCATGAACCATTTACGTGAGAATGGGGTGATCCATCGAGACATCAAGCCAGGCAACATCATGAGACAAGTGGGTGAGGATGGGCGCTCGGTCTACAAACTCACAGACTTCGGCGCTGCTCGTGAACTGGAGGACGACGAAAGTTTTGTGTCCATATACGGCACAGAGGAGTACCTGGTGAGACCATCACTGTTTTCTACAAAAGCACTTACAGATTTGCCTTAATTGTTACTCTCTTAAAAGATTACAATTCTTCTAACCTGTGTTCTTTGTGGGTGTTTCATTACATTGTAGTTGATCACAGTCAGCTTTTAAATTAATTTTCTGTTATCTCTTACAGTATTGTCTGTCTCTCTCTCTTGTTAAATCCGCTTATTTCTGTGCCAGTAAGACATCAAAGACTGCGGATTAAAACTGAGCTAGAATCAGTCTTTCATTTTAAAATCCTTACCAGTGTAATCATACAGACAAAAACAATCCTACATCAGCATTTATCCTTTGAAATGCTAATGAATGTGGGAGATGGCTCTCACTGATTGCAACTGTTGTGTGCAGCATCCAGACATGTATGAGCGGGCAGTGCTGAGGAAGCCCCAGCAGAAGACCTATGGAGTGACAGTGGATCTCTGGAGCATAGGTGTCACCTTTTACCACGCCGCCGCTGGCGTCCTGCCTTTCATCCCATTCGGCGGCCCTCGCAGGAATAAACAGATCATGTAGGCTTTGTGTGTACAAAGTTACAAGGCTGGTGGGAGATCCGAGTCTGATGTCTGTAATACATCTAACAAAGGCTCAAAGACACTCCAGCACTGTGCAGAAGTGATAGACCACCCTTTCACTTACTTTATTTCCAGCCAAAACAGCCATTTCGTTATTTATTTTTCAGCATCAGTAAATAAGTGGAAAGCCTCAACAGCTACATATAACATTATTTTTTCAGTATTTACTCTGTCTACCCTTCACCTTCATTAAGGCTTACATTCTTTTTGGGAGACTTGTTTTAATTTTCTCTGCAAATCTGCAGGGATATTTTTCCACGCCTCCAAAGTTCAGTCTTAGAAATTGGTTGCATTTTCTGCTTCTCACGATCCAAACCGATTCAGTGATGTTGAGGTCTGAACTCTGGGGTGTCCAGCCCATTGTGCTGAGAAGACCAGCAGCTTCTTTGTTTGATTTAATTTTTTTTGTCTATTGCCTTTTCTCAGTAAAGGTTTCTTAATAGCTACACATCCTTTCAGACCCATAGTCTTGATTTGTCTTCTCACAGTGGAAGGATGGACAAAACACCTGTGGATTTTTCAGATCTGAAGAGTGTAGCTTGATTTTCTCTCACATATAAAAGTTATAAGTACTTTTCATCTGGTAGTGAGAGTTTTGGTGGTCTACCAGGTCTTGCATGGTTGTTAGGAGTCCCATTTTCTCTTAGTAATTTTTTTGAATGTCAAATGAAAAATGAATAATTTGTACTCAATGGCCATTTTGACAAGGAATTAGAGAAATTAATGACCTCTGACCTTTGCACAATAGCCAGTTTATTAGGTACACCTGCATTGTACCTGCACTCATAGGACATTTTGTCACTTACCATAATGCTGCACTTGTAGGTTTACAGTTACAGACTGTAGCCCATCTGTTGCTGCATAAATTTTCAGCCACCATCTGTCAAAGGAATAGGACCACCATAAGACCACCACTGACCACATATTATTTAGGAAGGATTAAACTGACAAAGGATAACGTCTTGCTATACAAGAACTGCACGTGTGAGAAGAGCGCAGAGTGGAAAGATTATCCAGTCTAAAAAATGTTTGGAGTGTTGTTTGAAAGCAGTTTTTGATTAAGAAATTTTCAAACCAGTTTGGGTCTGTTTTTGGTTTAAAACCTTGCTGCAAAGTGGCCAGTAAGCGTACGCAGAATTTTAAAGCTCCAGCAACACTACTTTTACCAGGACAACAGACTCTCACATACCAGGACCATGTCAGTGCTACTGCTGTGCTGAGAATGATCCACCACCCAATCAGTATGTGGTCAGCAGTGGTCCTATGGTGGTCCCTTCTATTGATGGATGGGATAAGGGGGGCTGATAAATTGTGCAGAAACATATGGGCTACAGTCAGTAATTGTATGCCTAAAAAAAGTGCATATAGTAAGTGTACCTGATTAAAAAAGAGCATTACATATACCCTAGTCAGATTGCACTTCCCACTCAGAAATAGATTGCACTTGTGCATGTCCACAAATGGCCACTTGTAGAGGGAAGCAGTGCATTTCGGTTCTATGCTAAAGCCGTCAACAGTAGCACAGTATGCTTTGGCAGCTCAAACTTAATGAACATTGTTTAGGTATAACCTCTGAAGATCAGCTAATGTGTTTAACAACCCTTAAAATGGCAGTGGGGATTCCCCAAAAGGAGAGGTGACGAGGCAAATCAACAAAGGCATGAAAGGCCATTGTCTGTTAGCCTATATTAATTTAACTACTTATCATAGTGGTCATGTGAAAACCTGGTATCTGCAAAATGGTAACAGTACAGAAGAAGGAAAAAAACATTGTTAACTTTAATTGTAAGTTAATGTAAATAGATTTTGTTCAAGTAATTTTGAACCACTGCTGTCCATTCATCATGAAGTGAAACTATAAAAGGCAGCTGGTACTTTCAAATTGAGTCCCATGACAAAAATGGAGAGAGAAGTTTTTGTCCTAACAGTAATGTTACACTAGCAAGTTCATATTTCCCAGTGTCTGTTTTGTCGTTACATAGTAATGATCTCTGTTGTCGGTAGGTATAAGATCACGACTGAAAAGCCTGAGAGGGCCATTGCAGGGGTCCAGAAACTGGAGGATGGAACCATAGAGTGGAGCTACCAGTTGCCTCACTTCTGTCAGCTTTCAGAGTGAGTGTTTCAGATGATTATATGTGGTTCAGGAGTGCTCAGCACTGATGTTGCTGAATTTTCATTTCAGACTTTACTCCAACACCTAATCCGGCTTCTTAAGATCTTCATGGATGTTGTAATATCAGAAACAAAAGCGGTTTGTTGCCAATACTATGACTGAAATGTTTTTAGAATTATTAAAACTGTAACCTCCCCTAATACATAATGTTGTATTTTACTAAGAGCTCCATGCTGCGTCTCTAATCTCACTCATGATTTAATATGTCACAAGTGAAAGTCTCATCCCTAAAATCATCGGTGAATGTTTTATGCCTTGTAGGGGGTTGAAGATGCAGCTGGTACCAGTGCTGGCCAACATCCTAGAGGCCAACCAAGAGAAGTGCTGGGGCTTTGACCAGTTCTTTGCTGCTACCACGGACATACTTCAGCGCGTCACAGTCCACATCTTCTCACTTCAGCAAGCTACGGCACACAGTATCTATATCCATTTTTACAACACGTTAGTATCCTTTTTCTTCATTTGCTGCCACTAGAATATATATGTACTTGTTAAATGCCCAACTGTCATCCATTGGTCCTTTAACATTTATGTAATTTTCTATATTTGCTATTTTAGCCACACGTTTTGGTTTAGTTCTAGTACATTCCAAAGAATCTCCACTTGTACAAAAGCTCAGTTACTACCAGTGTAAACACCTGTCCACACTTAAACAAGCTTCGTCTTCCATTTCAATCTAGGGCTTTAATCTTCTTTGAAGAAGTTCAGATCCGGACAGGAATTGAACCAGAATTCCAGCAGTACTTGTTTCAGGGTCACCCTCTCCCCTTGGAGCCCAGCATGAAAGTGATCAATCTACCGTCCACCACTCCAGACCGACCCATTTTTCTTCTCAGCAGACGACCTGAGAAGATCGCAGCACTGCCTCTTAAAGAGCGTAAGGGCTGAATTATTTTCTTTTTATAGTGCCTGATGAATCAGCTTATGCTGTCCGTGGCTTGTTCTGACTGTAGTACAGTGGGTTCACACAACTTTTGCTTACAAATGAGGCACACAAATAATAGTAGGAAAGTAGCAATAGTAGGATAATAACAGAGATATTCAAACCTTTTCATTCTAAAGCACTCTTGCTAGTATTTTGAGAACTTCAGGGCCCCCCTCAAATAAAACAAACAGGTCAAATGATCCCATTTGTCCAGAACTTTTGTTGTCTGCTATTAACTGGTTTACAAAATAAAATAAAAAGCAGCGCATGACAATAACGGCTTTTCCTCTATTCTGCACTTATGAGCCCAGATTATTTATTATCATATTACTGGTCACAAAGAAATCGTTGACAATGTTAAACAAATTGGATCCGGTAGTGCACCTTTAATTGATTTGCAGAATAAAAAATTCTCTTTGACACAAGTACAGTCAATGTACTTCATGTAGGCTATCAAATGCACATTATTTGCCATGTCTGTAGCCTCGTTCAGCTGGACTGTGATGCATGTATTGGGTAATAAATTGTTTGTGGACATTTTCTGACATACATGCTATTCGCCAAACCACTGTAGTGTCAGACAGCAGTATGATTTTCAGCTTTTCAGTGTCACTGTCGCCAAGCATTGCCCTACACATGTTAATAGCTATGGGGAAAACAAGAATCACTTCTACTGAACATGACTTTTTTGCCTTTGAAATATGGTATGCAACCTCATATGGCACTTTTAGAGGACGTTCAGAGGAGCTTGTCGCAGTTTTGATAGCACCTTTTTTTTATGACTTGGCTGTTTAAATATTTATTTTCTAGCAGTTTTCTTTCCCACTGTCACCCACAAACAAGTCCTTCCCCACAGTTTGAATACCTCCCGGATAATAATTTTGAGTTTTGCTTAATTGTTGTATACACAATAGTACATAGAATTTGTTTGAAAAGCACATTTTGCCACATAGATGACCATAAATGATAAATAAAATTTGCCCCTGGTCAAATTATGTTTTTTTGATTTTGTAAATCTATGGTTTTCAACCTGTGGGCCGCACCCCAGCACCCCAATGGACCTCACAAAATTAAAACATATAAAAATGTGGCCTGTGCAAACGTTTTGACGTTATATTTTATGTTTTATTTTTTTTCTCCAAATGTTGCTCCAAAATTTGCACAACAATGTCATATTTAAGTTTTTCTCTGTGTAGGATGTGTCTTATTTTCACCTAAACAATCAACAAAATGTGTAATGTGACTGAGGGTGTTTAAACTTTTGCATGTGACTGTGATTAGTCTATGTGTGATTAGCTTTTTTTTCAAATGCAGTGAGACTTATGATCAGCTAAGATTTGAGTTGAGATTGTTAAGACTGTGTCATTGTCATAAGTCTGTGGGTTCTTAAAGTAGCCATCTTTCCGCCTTCTCTTTTGGCCTTGCGTGCTCCAGCGAATACTCCACCCATGCCCACGAGGTTTGATGTCATAGCAGACCACGCTTTCTCAAAGGTGAGCAACAAGACCTCCTTTACACTCATCACTCTGTCTGAAGAGAAAATAAATAATAATGTGTGTCTACAGTGCACGGTTAGATAAACCATTGTTCTTCTCCAAAGACCATGGTAGGGGTGATCCATCAGTACGTGCGAATGGCGCGTGTCCTCATCAAGCACAGGGAACTGATTCTACAGGGAGTCTACAGCTATATGTAAGTAGCCAAGAGGGGTGTAGTTCTGTATACGTTTACACTGTGGAGAAAGTAGTCCAGTCATATGTTTTGCTTTTACTCATGCATCAGTGATGGGCCTTCTCATGCCTGTTTATCTTTGGTATCTCTTCTTTTCTCTGTGCTCGTTTCCAGTGAAAGTGTGCGTATCGAGTGCAATAACACAGCACACAAGATTGCTATGGTGAACATGAAGCTGCTCTCCTGCCTGAGCACAGAAGAGACACTGCAAACACTGTGAGGACACTATGAAACTATGAAAAGTCATTTGCTATGCTCTGTTTTGCTACAGTGTATCTGACAGTATTGCACTGTAGGGTTCATTACAGAATTATAATAGAAGACAGATGCTTTGGCAAGTACATGGAAACACATAAAATGTTGTGAATAGCAATCAGCCGTTTGCTACACATGCAAAAGATGGAGACTGAGTATAATATAGGAATATTAGGGACTGTCCTTAAATATACACTGCATGGCCAAAAGTATGTGGACACCTATATGAGCATGTTGGACATTCCATTCTAAAATCATAGGCTTTAGTATGAAGTATGAAGTTCATACCAGAGGTGATCGGTGGGGTTAAGGTCATCAGAGTCATCATCAAGGTCATCATTTTCTGGATCTTGCTTTGTGCACAGGGGCATAGTCATGCAGGAACAGGAAAGTGTGTTCCTCAAACTGATGCCACAAAATTGAAGGCATATAATTGTCTAACTGTCTTTGTATGCTGTAGCATTAACATTACCCTTCACTGCAACTACAGGGCCGAGCCCAAACCCTGAAAAACAGCCCCTGAGAATTATCCCTCCTCCACCAAATTTTACTGTTGGTACTCTGTATTCCAGTAGGTAGTGTTCTCCTGGCATCTGCCAACTTAGATTCGTCCATCAGACTGCTGGATAGTGAGGCTTAATCCATCACCTACATTCAGAGAACACGTTTTCGCACAGAGTTCAGTGGTACCATGCTTTACACCAATCCAGCCTATGCTTGGCATCACACATAGTGATCTTAGGCTTGTGTACAGCTGCTAGACCAAAGTTTGCGTAGTCTACCGCTTTGTGGCTGAGCTGTTGTTGTTTCTAGATGCTTCCATTTCACAGTAATATCACTTTCTATTGACTGGGGTAGATCTAGCAGGGCAGAAATAAACACACTGACTTGTGGCGAAGCAAAAAGTGAGGCTGAAATACCTAAACTCAGCAACTAGAACCTGTGTCCATTTTTTGGCCATATAGTGTTAAAGTAAGGAGTATCTTTTAATGTAATTAAAGATGACTTTAGAAAAGAGACTGTTTTTTAAAAAATACATAATTTACTGTTGAAAAAACAAAGTAATTCTGAGGGATTTAATGTAAAATGATGCATTTACAGAATTTTACTAACTTTCTCTTTCTTTACAGTGGTGGAGATAGGAACCAGGGGTTGTGATGACCACACACAAATATAGTTTATTTACCATCCAGAATGACCAGTGAGCATACACCTGAGTGCCTTCTGAGTTTTTCAATGCAGTGTTGATAATGGTACAACAGTATAGAATCCAAAAAAAGGTTTTCTTTGGGCACTATTGTGCCTTGCTAAGTGTACCTATAAAAACAGGGTCTCAGGCATCAGGCAGCGTATTTGTAACTGTTTTGTGAAATACACTCTCTGAGAGGGAGCTTTTAGAGGCATTTAATGCTTCAGACATCTGGTTAATATCACTACCACTGTAAACAGTTCTGGTTTTGCTAAGTTTCTCTAGAATGGAGCACTTCATATGAAACCACTCTTAATGACTTTGTTCACATGTGAACAGTTTAATTATCCTGAACTTTGACAAAATTTGTTGAATTCCCCTTTAAAAGTTCTCCAGTTCTCATGTCACACATGTCTGAGTGAAAGTTTAATGGTTGAAGATGTTAATATTGGAAGAATTGCAGTAATTGTTGTGATATTTTGAAGTTTAAGCTTTAAAAGCTTTCAAAGCCCTAAAAGGTTCTCTTTTTGACCAGCAGAGGCCAGTTTCCATTTGAGTTTCCAGATTCCACCGACTACAAACAGAAGCTTCTACTGGTAAGACTTGTGCTGTTGGGGGTGGGCGGGGTTGGGAGTGGATGGGGGTGGCAGGATTGATATATTGGAAGTGTATGTGAGGTTTATACTTTACTCCAGATCCAGGAGAAACTGCCAGTCTATGGCAGCAGCATCAGAGAGTACCAGAACAAACTTCAGCATCTGCATGTGGAGTTGGCCAAACACTCAGAAATGCTGGCTGAGGACAAAAGGTACACACATTAAAGTCATTACAGCTACTATCAGAACATTTTTAGAGCTTCATTGGATATAAAAGGCCACATTAAGTATACCACAGTGCCTTCCTGGGCGAATAACACCCATTCTTAATCTTAGGGCATCAGACAGATCAATTTAGTCGATCAATTTGTGCTGAGAGAGGAATATCAGCATACCTAGAGCAGTCTGAACAGCCTAAATAATTGTATTTAAGTAACCATTGCTAAGACTTTGAAACATACCATTCACTTCCTAGTGCACACAGTCTAAATATTGAAAATAAGCTACCAAAACTGTCTGTTTTGAATGAACTGTTTCTGTGATGTCAGGAAAAGTAGGGGCATAGTCATGCAGGAACAGGAAAGTGTGTTCCTCAAACTGATGCCACAAAATTGAAGGCATATAATTGTCTAACTGTCTTTGTATGCTGTAGCATTAACATTACCCTTCACTGCAACTACAGGGCCGAGCCCAAACCCTGAAAAACAGCCCCTGAGAATTATCCCTCTTCCACCAAATTTTACTGTTGGTACTCTGTATTCCAGTAGGTAGTGTTCTCCTGGCATCTGCCTACTTAGATTCGTCCATCAGACTGCTGGATAGTGAGGCTTAATCCATCACCTACATTCAGAGAACACGTTTTCGCACAGAGTTCAGTGGTACCATGCTTTACACCAATCCAGCCTATGCTTGGCATCACACATAGTGATCTTAGGCTTGTGTACAGCTGCTAGACCAAAGTTTGCGTAGTCTACCGCTTTGTGGCTGAGCTGTTGTTGTTCCTAGATGCTTCCATTTCACAGTAATATCACTTTCTACATTTCAACATTTACATACATCCACCTCTTCAGCCTACAGCAGTTTAGCTCACTCACGCTAAAGTTATGAGGAGCATTTCATAAATAGTCAACACTTAAACTAAATATTGTTAGATACGGACCCTTTTGGGCCAGTTTTGGAGAACTATGAATGAGGTCTAATGAAATTAATTGCCATTTGCTTGTTTCAGCATACAGAAGATGGAGGTTCTTTTGAACAAGATTGTGGCGATTCATCAGCAATATCGGAAAGACAGATCAGCTGGCAGTGAGTATATGTCTGTACCATTGTCGAGCATGGTTTTGTCAACTAGGAGAGTGGTGTGTTGCATAAAAAACTGAAATGTGCATTACAGATGTTATGCATTTAAAATGACAGGCAAAGCAGCAGACAGGATGAAGAATATGACAGAAATGCATGCCAAAATAGCTGGACAGCCCACATTATCACCAGTTACATCAACCAAGAGACAAACAGCACAAGACCATCTGAAAACTATTATATCCAGCCTATTCAAATCACCATCAGGGCAGCATTTAACAAACACAATTACATATATGAAATCCCCAAAATAAAACAATGGGAGCCTAGTAAAATGACACCAGTACAGACCTTAAGTCATCGAGCTAAAAGGTCACAACAACGTCAATAACCAAAATGCATGCAGCGGTAATAAATCAGACTGGTACAATCAAATGAGGTAATGTAAAAAAACTGTAGCATACAATTATAAAACTCATTTGGGGATGCTCAGTAAAACTGGTCTTTGTCCTACTTAAATGTGAATTATATCTGCTTAACATTTAATTTTTCAACATGATCTTTCTAAAATTCATTTAAAATTAGCACCTCAACTGTACTCGCAGGCTACGTTATGTTACATTAGCCATGTTTACTAAACCCGCCATGAGAAGCTTTATGCTGGACAATATATGTGGCCAGTCACTTTAAAGCATTGTGTAACTTTACCACTCGATTCGTCAAGGGTTTTCTTCTGCGCGGTGATTGCCTGAGTGCAGTGAATCTGATGGAGAATTTGGAATCCAAATGGTGCTGTGGTCAGCCCTGCTGCAGAAACAGAGACCACCGTGACAGCTTCCAGACTGGCATTTGCTTTTCGACCCTCCAGCCAGTTTCACAGGCATATGCCAAACAAACATTTAGTATTTAGCAGAAAAAAAAAAAAATTCTAAACTGATGTTTTAAAATAAAATACTTTTCTAAACTGATTTCAAACTGATGTTTGATTATATCTTTATTACACGATGGAAGAGCAGAATGTTTAGGCAATGCTGGGCTACTGTGCTAAAATGTCATTTAACTCTATACAAATACAGTCATAAGTGATTTTCTAAGTTCTGCACAGTTTGGTGAGTTTAACATGTTAAATAAAATGTGCCATAACCTTTGCTCAGACCACATTTTATGTTGTATTTTTCCCAATATGTAAAATTCAGCCAATAAGCAGTATTTATGCATTAGTGTGTGCAGAAGTGTGAGGATGTGTAAACTTCACTTAGAAAATCAACAAAACATGTAATTTGAGCAGGGGTACCCAAACCTTTGAAAAACGACTGTAAATATTTCTCTAATATGCTAGTCCAACACCTAGTACCAATTTCTACATTTTATTAGAAATCTGTCTATGTCTCGGTATCTGTATCAGCATTGGAAGATGTGTACATGGAAAATATTGTATATCAGCATCAGCCCTCAATTCCCATATCTGTACATCTGCATTTAAAATTCTAGATTTTAAAACAAGTTCCAAAAATGCATATAAGTGGATTTGTCTGTTAGGCTCTGGTTTTTACCACAGTAGATAAAAAGATGCGTTATCATCATCAGATTGCCAACTAATCACTACTGATTAGAGACTGTGTTTGATACCACTAAACAAATACTGTCAACAATATTGAAATCCCCAAAATAAAACAATGGGAGCCTAGTAAAATGATATAGTATTGACCAAAACTGATCTGATATTTCTTCTTTAAAAACTACATTTTAAACTGAGCTGTTTTAATTTTTAATAAGCTATGTGTTTTTTTTTTTCTTCTGACACCTGAACCAACATTTTGTGCTTATATCGGCCAGTATTGGCTCATTGCCATTAACCAATTAATCGTGACAGCCCTACATTTCATATGTGATCCCTGTGTAGCAGTGATCATCCTTTCTGATCTCAGTCTAATTCTTGGCAAAAAATTTGTTTTCTCAAGTTAGACTTTACTAGGTATGAGCAGTTGACCCACTTCTGTCAGTGGGAGTGCTGGGAACCCGGTTTTGATAAATCCGGTTGGCCTGGTTCTGAGATTAGTTCTGCCAGTTGGTGCCACTGCAGGAAAGCTCTGCTGCTCAGCCTTATCTAATGGTGCGGAAATGGGAGACTGCAGGCACGCAGGCATGGAGATGGCAGACTTTCTCTTACCCATGCACTGCTCTGCTGATAACATTAGATATGGTTCTCTGGAGAGACCACTTCAGAGCTTATAGGGATTTGATAGGAAAGGACTGAATCAGTGAGAGAAGCATGTCTGGGATTTTGATGTCATGGATTGAAGCTAATGCTTTCTCCTCTTCTCCTCTAGAGCTCAACTACAACGACGAGCAGATACACAAGTTTGAAAAGTGAGTAGAGGATCAGCAGCTCTGATAATCTATTACTGAAAGGATTGCTGTTTTTTGAAGAATTGATCTTCGGCTGTGCTCTCTGTGTAGGCTCAACCTGTCATCTCACATAAAGAAGGTAAAAAAGTTGTTTTGTGATGACTGTCTGCAGAAGCAACAGGAAGTCTGGGCTGCATTGAGGATGTTGAACAGGTAAAGCCTGTAAAGCTTGTGAAAAATGCAGTCACACTGGCTTACATCATTTAACCAGTTATAACTCATTAATGATACAAAGGCAATGGTTATATTGATCAAAGCAACAATACATGAATCAAATATACACTGAGTCGCTGGTTTATTAGGTACTTGCACACCGTGGGCATTTTATCAGGTACTCCTATCTTATAGGTTTACCATTACTGACAGTAACCCATCTGTTGCAGTTAGCCTCCCTCCACCCATTCATCAATAAACAGGGACCATCATAGGACCACCACTGACTAGAGCTCTAATCAGGCCTGAAATTTTGTCTAAGAATTTGGTCCTAGAATTTTTTGTCCAAGCCCGATCCGACCTGAACCACGTCATTGAGTTTTGAGTCAGAACACGACCCAAGTCAAACCAAATTCTATTCAAACCCGACCCAGACCGGCCCATTATCACCTTAAGTGCTGAATAAAATCTGACAGTATCCATGTAGTGACAGTAGTGGCTAATTAGGTAATGTATGAACAAAATTTAAAGCAATATAAAAAATATAAAAAACATTCTGAACTTTAAATGGAAGTTTTTTGTGAAAATATTTTTATCAAACATTTTCAAAACAAAAAACAACAGAACGTAACAGACACACAGTGACATACGAATAAATAAAATAAATTTAAACCAAACAAGGTCCTGATCCATACTTTTTCTGACAAAGTTAACTGCAGCAGACCAAGTGTCCACATTATCAGCCTTTGCTCAATTCAGTCTGGCAGTGGCCTGTAACATAACATCCATAAAATAGTGCAGAAGTGTGGATCTCAAGTGTTTGAAGTGCGGTACTGAATCTACCTCTAAAAGAAAAAAAAAAGCAGGGAAGTTGTTGTTTCCCAGAGATGTTTTATTGGGGGGCACTGCCAGAAAACATGGATTAATGTTCTGATTTGGAATGTGTGGTAAGGGGTTATATAAAATCTATATAAAAAAGTTATATAAAATCTGTGTTTAACTAATTTGTAGTGCAGCTAATGAGCAAAAGATTTAGAGAAAATAATTATATTCCTCCAGATCAAATCCAAGTTTAGATCTGAATCGTTCACAGCTACAGATTTTTGGTATACTGAGCACAGGAGGAGTATTAGAAATGAATTGGTTTTAAATAGGAGATACTAAACCCCAGAATGCAGATCTAGCTTGGAAATAAGCAAAGCAATGGATGTGATAACTTTGAATGAAAGTTAATGGAACACTTTTAAAGTAATTTTGGAGCTTTCAAATTATGTAAGAAGAAAAAAATGACAAAAATGGGGATGAAATGTTTTTGTGTGACAGCAACAGTGTGTGTGTATATGTATATATACATGTACATATATATATATATATAAATATATGGTCTACTGGGTTTTCCCTTGTAATGAGATTACCCTGTTAATAAATAAAGTAATCTCTTTACAGTCTGAGAGAAGGAATTAGCAATTTGGAATTGATTACTTTTCCAATTTGGAATTGATTACTTTTTTATGAGTAACTATGCCAACACTGTCAGACTCAAGATAGGCGTACCTAATAAACTCAAAACTCAGTGTATCACGTGTACTCTGCAGTATTGTGTACATGACATACTTGATGAATATTTTGAAATATGATAAGAACATTAGACTTTGTGTGTGTGTTCCCATAGTACATTGTATGATATGCAGTCAAGGTTGGACCAATTCAGCAGTTTCTTCCTGCAGCTAATAGGGGATCTGCAGATTTGTGAGGGTAATCAGACCAAGGTCAGTCATATGCTTTCTTAAACACAAACTCTCTCACCCTCTCAGTCTCTCTCTCTCTCTCTCTCTCTCTCTCTCTCTCTCTCGTTCCGTCTCTCTCTTATTCATTTTTTCCTGAAGGGATGCCTGTCAGAGGTTTGGGGACACATTGCTTTCTTTTTGAGTGTTGTTTGATTTTCATTATTACTTTTTAATTAAATGAGAAAAATGCCTGCAGATGTTTTGTAACCATAAACGGCTATTTGGTAATACTTGCAGTATGTTTTACAGCACTCTCAGCTTCTTATTTGTAAAAGTGTCTTTTATGGTATGAAGAGTAGATTTTTCCTAAATAATGGTTTGACAGTAATAATGATTTTCCAAACTATTACTAAAACCTCATGTTCAAAATCCAGTGTTTCCCACAGATTTGAAATTCAGGTTGGTGCTGAGGCAGGGAGGGGGTGCGCAGGGGAAGACAACAACTCTAAAGCATAGATAAATGACAATTCAATAACAATTCATAATTCATTCCTTTTAGCATTTTTTAAATAATTGCACTTTTTTATATTACAAATTATCATTACAAATAGACACTGTGTATGTGTGCAAGTTACATTCAAATATTAATAACACCAAGACAGGTTTTGCAGGTTTATTTATGTATATGTGGGAAACACTGAAACCTTTGAAGCCAAAGGTGGTTTAAACAGCTGAAAGATTTCAGTGCTAATGGGTGATAACATCACAACAAGGAGATAAAATGTGTGGGCTTTGGTAAAGGTAGTACTTTTGGCAGGTGTTCAGTTGTGCAGTTTTTGTGAAGAAAAATGGCAATATCTAAACAAAGATCTGTTTATTAAATTCCGTTTTTGCAAACTAGCCAAGAAGAAATGCTAATTTATTAATAACATTTTGGTCAGAGTAAATAGCAAACACTTTTTCAAGCTTTGGCACACTAATGACAGCACTTTTGAGGTTCATTTAGCACAGATGGAGCAGGAAAGAACATGAACAAAATCTGACTGCTTTTAAATGCAGTCCAAAAGTGACTTTACTCCATACTTTGCTGAAGAATGGCGTATTAGCATGCAATTTAAACATGTTCATTTAAACAGGTTCATAATTAAGCTTTATATGTTTCATTAGAATGTAGCCATTTTTGCCATGAAATTTTGCCTTGAACTCACGAAGCAATCTGTATGGTTACTCACAACTATGAGATTCCTATGTTGACTTAAATATTTATGATAATAATTAAAACAGCCTGTAGGGCTATGGTGAATAAAGCACCTTCTGTCTCTTCTGTGTGCAGGTTCTGGAGCGAGTGTTGGTAATAGGTCTTCAGAGACCAGCAGGAGCAGAGGCCATAGACGGGCTGAAGAATAAAGACCACATGATTCTTCGGTGAGTCCCTGGACGAATACCCTCTCTCAATAGCATACATTATATGTCCAAAAATGTCCAGGCACCCCTTCTAATTAGTGAATTCAGCCTCTTTAAGGTGCACACATTGCTGACACAGGCGTTCAGTTGTGTGCACACAGCTAGTATAGTCAGGGTTTGAATTGAGGGGGGGTTAGGGTGGGTCCTGGACCTACTATAAGAGTAAAGGTATGCCCCAAAAAGACAGGTGAAAACTAGGGGGTCTTATTTCCTTGAATAACATTTGAATTTTCTAATAAATTGAATGCCTCATACAGGATGACTGTCTTCCACATTTTCATTGTGTTTAACATGATGAAATAGATTCCTCCCCTGATAAACCGCCAACTACTATTTCGCTACCTATGCAAAAAATAACAGTAGTAAGCGTCACTTATATTGTGAAAATAGTGTTCATCAATACGTAGGTCACCTCATAGTCGGACTTTAAATAGTCGGACTTTCCGGGAGACCCCCTCAAGACCTCTGCCACAATTCAAACCATGTCCTTAACTGCTGCACATGAGCCGAATGTCACCATGCCCAATGCCACGCATCAGGTAGAGGGGTATAAAGCCCCCCAGGATTGCTCTGTGGAGCAGCGGTTCTGCGTTCTCTGTGATGGAGCACCATCCAGTACTATTGGGATGAGTTGGAATGGCATTTGTGATGCAATACTTAGTATCGGAATTGGGCCCATATGAGCAGAAAATGCTGAATTGGATGTTGGGGGAGGGGGAAAGAAGGAATCTGGGAAAAGAATGAATCCGATATGATATTACCACTAATCTAGTACATTGCTTGTAGCACTGCGAAACATAAAGTGAAGTAAAGCAAGTCGCGTTAGAAAATCAGTTACCACATAAACACATAATAATAGCAAGGGTGCTGTAGTGGAATGTTTGAGTAGTTAGACCAAGGTATAAACATACATAATATATTGTAAAATGTTTTATTTTAGTAGTTTTTAAATGATGAAATATGGTCTTTTCAGAAGGGTAAAGGCTGAACAAGCTCCATATTCATATCCTTGATTTCAGAAGAAACACTGGAGAAGCAGGTGTCTGCAAACTTTTGGACATATAGTGTATATGAGCCATTGAAAATGTACAGTAAGAGTCAAATTTTCAGCTCATGCTGTATATGTATCATTATTTCAGTGCCATGCTCCCCTGCTTTTTGGTTTTACAAACCAGCTGTACATGTAGAGGCTACTTCAGAAAACTAAACTTGATTTCATATATACATATTATATCTGTATCGACAGTAATATTTTGTGTTCCAGAATGAAGAGACTGAGAGATGAGATGGAGACAGTAGCTCGGGAGCTACAGAATAACAACCGTATGATAGAAAGGTATAGAATCTTTGAAATCAGTGCCTGTCTGGCTCACACTGTTCCACTTCTCACTCTCAGAATCAACACTGCTGTGAATTCATTTTCATTGTTAAGCTACACCCATTTCCAGTGTTAAGGTACACAGATTTTCCTGATTATCATAAGAGTAACCTAAGTTATGAGAAGAGGGAAGACCATGTAATGATGTAAGCCATTTGATGGAAGTATAATCCTTTCTGTCAGCACAAACTTCAGTAACATTTATTTTCTTTAAGCAATAGAAAATGAGCAGAAGTGTGTTTGATTGCAGACACGAAAGAAGAGTGAGTTTCATTATTTGAGATAACGCACAACATTGAGTGTTTTATCAAAAAGAAGCCCTAAACATCATATGTGCTTTAATATTAGCAGTTCTTTCTGCCACAAAAAGGTCAAATATTACCTTATAGAAGTTATCTAATGTGCCATTTTGTATTTGTGTATGTGTTCAAGTAGAATTGTAAGGCTTAGCTGCAGCATAAAGCAAGTTGTTACACAGCAACTGGTGTTCAGTGGAATGATAAAGTTAATGTGAAAAACTAGGGATGCAACTGTGAAATATTTTCAAATATTTAATATGATCCCAAATATTCTAATATTGTTTAAGAATAAGGAAAGCTAAGAAATGAAAAAGCATTTTTAAAAATCTTATTAATATTTATTCATCTATTTATTTATTTGCTTCACTGAAAATATTACAAAGCAATTGATAAACATCACTGATAAACATTCATCATTAGAGTAAGAAGCATAAGATTATATTTCTAGAGATCCTGTCTAATCTGGCAATGATCTCATTTATTCTCTGTAATAAATGCAGTATAGCATACTCATTTCTCTCCGATCCAAAGGAGTAGGAAAAGCGCTTGGACTGTGCTGGGTGATTAAAACCAACATTATCACACAAAACTGAAATTAGTTTCTTATTCACTAAGTTCTGATTTTTTATTCCACTTTAAATGGTACAGGTGCCAGAATATAACTGCAGCACCATTTAAGGTGGAACAAAAACATTGAAAAAAAAAGCTGGCTATTGGAAAACCGGCATCGACCTTGTCGTTATTGCTTCAAGTTACAGCTCCAAAACAGACTACTGACGCGATATCACCATGGCTTTGACGGGAAAGGACCACTGACCTACAAGAAAAGGGCTAACCACAAATCCATGTGTTTGCGTGACGTGCAGATTATTTTGCTCTCTTTAGATAGCTGCTGATGTGCACTACTGCTGACTCGCTGTTTCTCGTCACACTGATAAAAATTCACACACTGAAGCAGATGCTCATAAAAATGACTGAACGCTATTTGACTTGTGTTTTTATTGTCACATTACATTTTATTGAATATTCACTGCACCCCTAAAAAGACACGCATTTTATTCCTTCTGTCTACATGTTTTAACCTCTTTTTTCAAGAATACCATCTAATCTAGAGTGCACGGTCTTTTGTTTTTACAGTCTTAGAGCATTTAACTCCACGCTGGTGGTGGAGCCTAATTTACCACAACCAAAAGGACCATGAGGACTGTGAAGAGCACAACCTAGTGCCCAAGCTAAAGAACTTTTCACTCACGGAGCCATGTACAGATGGTTAAAATTGACTGTAATAGGGGAAAGAGAGCGAAGATGAAGAAAAAGGAAAAGGTCAGTTCAAAACAAGACTCTGCTGCTTCTCTGTTTCATTTTTACTTTTCACCTGTTGTGAAACTGATTATCGACATCTTGCACTGATCTCAGGACTTCCTGCCACACCAGCAGTTCTGCTGCCTCATCTACAGACATACTGTATTAAATATTGATGCCTCCGAATTCAAGAGTTAAAAGAGTGAAATGTTTAGAATTTCTGCGAAGGAAAGACATTGACGTTGCATGCATTACTGAATCACATTTAAATATACTGGATGTATCTCGTATGCAGGATAGGACATATAAAGTGGTGACTTCTTCGAGTAATGGGCCCAATTGTGAGGGCACTATAATACTGGTGAAGAGAAGTCTTAAATTGGTAATCCAGAGAGCTAGCTCTTCTCAAGAAGGTTTTGGTTGTTTTTCTTACGTATGTACCTCGATACATTGTAAGAACCTTGCGTTTGTGTCGTTGCATGCTCCTACAGTATATGATAGCACCTTTTTCCCGTGGGTTGCCAAAGAGTTGTTGGTCCTTTCAGGCTATGATTTCATAATTGGAGGTGACATGAATGCTGTAATTGATTATAGATTGGACAGATCAACACAAAATTCATCGGTTTCTCAACAACTGGCATCAATGGCTTTGACTAAGTTTATTGAGGATTTAAATCTCCTTGATATTTGGCGTGCGCGTAATTTAGGTGTTCAACATTACACGTTTCTCAATACGCCATAAAACTTTTTCAAGAATTGATTTTTTCCTAGTTTCCAGAAACTTAAACATGTTGGTAGAATCTAGTTCAATTCTCCCAGCAGTATTATCTGATCATAGCCCAGTGGTGGTGGTAATGGATTTAGGAATTAAGGTTAGAAGGTCACCAAGATGGAGATTTAATACTAGCTTACTACAAAGTGAGGGTTTTCTAATGGAATTTAAAACGAATCTACAAGAATTTTTAGTGATTAACAAGGAATCTGTTGAGGATCCAAGGTTGGTCTGGACGGCCACTAAAGGCTTTATAAGGAATTTCTCATCTGCTTTTGCAGCCCATCTGAACAAGGATAAACTTCACAGAATCAGTATGTTGGAACAGCAATGCAATGTATAAAAAGCAAAATTGAATGATTTGTTAAGAATAGCTGAGTTCATTATACATAGAGTTTGACAAAGATACTACTTTTATGGAAGCAGACCTAGCAAGCTTCTTGCTCTGAAATTAAAGCAGTGTGAAAGGTTTGCTACGATAGATTCCATCCACTCTTCATTAAAGGTTTAGTAGTTGACCCAAAGGATATTAATGATACTTTCAAATCATTTTATCAGGATTTATATTCTTCTAGGGGTGACTTTAATACCGAGGATTGTAGACAATTTTTAGATAACCTTGACCTTCCAAAGTTAAGTGAAGTTGATGCAGAAGAATTAGGCAGTCCTCTATCTTTAGAAGAACTACATTTAGCACTGAAAAATACCCCTTAAGGTAAAGCACCTGGACCAGATGGTATTCCACCAGAACTGTTGTTGTGCTTTTGGGATATTCTTGGTCCAGTGTTGTATGAAGCCATACAGTTTGCAATTGAGGTGGGCTCTTTTCATGATCATATGAATGTTGCTATGATATCTTTGTTACCTAAAAAAGGTAAAGATCTTACTCAGTGTGCCAACTTTCGATTTCATTGATAAATTCTGATATTAAATTGTATTCTAAGGTGCTAGCCTATAGACTTGATAAATATATTGGGAAATCAATACACTCTGATACACTCACAACAAGATGCTCCGTGTGCAGTTTTGTCCTTGGACGTAGAGAAAGCGTTCGATAGAATTGAGTGGGATTATCTGTGGATGGTGTTAGAGAAGTTTAGTTTAGGACGTAACTTCATTCATATGATTCGAATTTTATACAATAATCCATCTGCTATGGTCATCACTAATGGTTTACAGTCTCTCCCCTTCTCTGTTTTTCGTGGAACATGTCAAGGGTCACCCTTACCTCCACGCTGATGATATCATCCTTTATATGACTGATATTGCTAAGTCCATTTCCCATTTATTACTAGCATTTGAAAACTTTCAAAAATATGGGAAAAATATGGGAAAATTTGGCTTAGAAAATTAAAATTACTGAATTACTTAATGCACGAGTAAAGGGTTTTAAAATGGTAAATTAAGGTTATACAGTACTCACACTGTAATGCATGCAAAGACAGGATAGCAGATCGATCTCTTTGTTTTCACTCTGTTACTCCAGCAATTATTTTTTTTATTTTATTTTTTTTTTAATAAATGTATGCATATGAGTGCATGTATCTATGTATATGGACACATGCTAGTTTATTGTAGATTTATATTTTAGATTTGTGGTGTTTCTTTTGGATCTTTTGTTTTTGTGTTAATTGTGATGTGTTGGTTTGCCAACTGGGGGTGGGTGGATGGGAGAGTGGGGGAGAAGGGGGGGCGGGGGGGTTCAGGGGGGAAAGCATTTATTTATATCTGTGTTGTCATGTACATTTTGTTTCTGTTTAATATTGAAAATAAAAAAATTGTTAACAAAAAAAAAATTGATGCCTCCACTTATTTAGCCCTCGCAGTGTTCTGATTATTGCCCATCCATGTGTGAAGTGTTCCTGTTTAAATGAATAGGTACTAATTATGTCACATGCGTTGGCCTAATTGATTCTGCCTTTATAGATAACTTTGCAGCCTTGCCCGTTTAATTAGTCCATTGATCCACAGAGGAGAATCTGCGAACAATAAGGAAAGGCAAACCTGCCTGACCAGACAGAAATGTGCTGCGCAGCTTCGATTTGTGGATAGTGATGGAAAAACTACTGCACATTGTTTGATCTAAATGGATTTGGGCTTAGAAGTGGTGTAACAGGACAGAAGATGTGGTCATACCTCAGCACTCCTTCATCTAGGTAGTCTGTGAATTCACGTCCATTAAGTGGATCATTACAAAGGGCTGCTTCCATTTTTAGTTTATTTTTATATAGTTGTTTTCTTTGTTTCAACCTTGTGAAGCTGAAACTTTTCATTTGGATATAATAGTCATTTCTGCAAATGGCTTGTGAACTTGCGCTTACGACTGTCGCATCTTTGTAAGTTTGACGTAGTATTTACACTTTTTTAAAAAAAGATTCAGTCCCTGGTCTATATATGAAAGTTAAGCTGCGCAAACAGTCGGTTTTGAATTTATTTTTTTGTGATGTCACAAAATCCAATGTATTTATATATATTCCTGCATTCAGCCTACAGCAGTTAAACTCCGCCCATTCAGATTAAAGTTATAAGGAGTGTTTTGGGCTGTTTTTTGAATGTGTCACAATACACGGCAGCCGGTCAGCACAGAGGTCACAGCCTGAGTAAATCTAAGGCATAAAGAGAGAATAGAAAAAGGCCACATACAAATGAATTAGGACTGTTTTTATTAGACCACCCAGCACAAATGTCATTAGTGGACATAAAACAAATAGAAGAACAATATCGCCTGTTTAAAATGGAACATATGACGAATGGAGGTTGCACAGGACAAATAATCAGCACCGTGTTTGTGGAAAAAAAAAAGGTTTTAAGCACTTAAGCAAGTGCTACAAGAAAAACAACAGCTGTCCAGCCCATCCAAAGGAAGGTGGAATATCTCCCTTAGGAAATAAACCATTTAACACAATGGGCAACCTCTAGTTTTCAAAACCTAATGAATTCAAAGAGGCAAAGGGGTTTTTGGGAAGTGATGAATAATGTATTATTTTGGATATGATGCTTTATTTTTGGTTTAGCCTTGGGTGGGTTTGTGTGTAGAAGAGAGGACACTGTTTTGGCTTCACGAGGCCGCGTTTTATTGTGGAAACGAAAGACGTCGAAGGGCTGGGTTCCCTCATGCCACAGGCGTGGGTAGTTTTCGAAAGTGACGGGGGGAAATCCTGTCTCTTGAGGGGGAACTACTGACGTGTGGCCGAGATCGTGCTGCGGCCAGGCAGTGGCTGTCTAATGGAAAGTTTGTGAGCATTTCTTGTGGTTAGATCAGAAATATACTACTGTATTTGTCCATGGTGGTAGAGCCATGAGTTCATATCAGATCTTAACAGATGTGATATGAAGTTGCAGTTAGTTGCAACTGAACCCCTAAAATTACTGAATCACAATTCCTCACTTCTCATAACTATATGATATACATGCTACATTCAAAGGAGTTACTGAATAGTCTAGAGTAGTCGCATTATAAGCCTGAAGTTTAAGGCCTAATCATCCTGAAATGCTAAAGCTTGACAAAAATATAAGCCTAACTGTAATGTACTGAAATAAACAGAAGATTGACTGTTGCAGAAGTGTGTAATACAAAATGTTTAAAGTCTTTAACTGTGTGTATGTGTGTGGTAGATTCTGGAAACCCTTTTTGCAATGTTAATAAATATATTGTGTCATATACCACATTCTACATGACTAACAAATGTATAGGTAAAACAGTGACGTTTGTTTCTATCTTTTATATCTGTCTGCTGTGGTCCATCCTGTGTTCTACAATATCTGGGCAAGATACACCCACTCAGGAAATGTCACTCCAGCCCACTCCTCTGGTGAAAGCCCCCTAGACTTGTACACATTTTACTGAGCTAGGACTCAAACTTTTAACCCAAGAACTACATTTGTTATTGTAGTAACTCAGATTGGTGCAATTTTGTATAGCATTAGATGTCTACCTATCTATCTAACGTTACCTACTGCATTTTTTTTCTTAATGTGTCATTTTTGTTCATTTTATTCACAATCAAATGTGGATTTTCTGTTGTTTTTAAATCAGTAGCCCCATGTGACCAAAAGACTAGATTTAATATAAGTATTAAAAACTCACAGCCATATTATTCAGTTCTTCAGATTCATGCATCAGGCATCAGTTTAGAGAACATCCAAAGAAAATGTAAATGTTACGTGTATTAATAAAAATGAATGGAGGAAAAATATAACATTATGAATTCCCTGATGGTCAGATACAGCTATGAGCCTTTTTCATACAACCAATTGCGTTCATTCTTTTCTGAAAGTGAAACGCAGCAGCTTTCTATGGAAAACCCATCCTAGAGGAGAAAAAAATTCCCCTGGAATTTTAACTTTTTCTGTTTCTGGTGGCAGTATGTCAAACATTTGGCTTGGATCTCAAAATAATGACTTATTTTCTCCAAAAATACTCACTCAGTATGACAAAATAATGACTTAGTATATCTTCATGACTTATCCCACAATTACTTATGGATTTGTTTTTATTTAAGAACTCGAATCAAAATCCTGAGAAAGTCAGTAATTAGACTTATTTAAAGTAACTCACTGTTTTAACATACAAAGTCAATAACTTATCAGTCAATATTCAAAGAATGTTAGTCAATATTTCAAGAAACTAAGTTATCATTTTGAGATCTTAAGTCAGTATTTTGAGAAAATAAATCATTTCAAAATGCTAAGCCAATAGTTTGACATACTGCTGCCAGAAACAAAAAAAGGAGTGAGTTAAGTCAACTCAAATGGTTTGAGTAAACCAATTGCCTTAAACTGTTTAAGTAACTCAAATCATTTGACCATGAATATTTTCCTGAACTATGATATAATAATTCCCTGAGTATGAAAAAAAAGAAATGTGTATGCCTGTGTGTCTGCCCTCTGATGGACTGGCGACACATCCAGGGTGTTTCCTGCCTTCCGCCCAATGAGCACTGGGATAGACTCCAGCAACCCCCAGGAGGATAAGCGGCATTGATGATGATTGAGTGAGTGAGTGAGTGAGTGAGTGAGTGAGTGAGTGAGTAAGTGAGTGAGTGAGTGAGTGAGAGTATGAACAAAACATGTTTATTGTTGTATACACTTAAGTACATTGATTAAATCATACTAACTCCATTCATTTTGTTGTTGAGTATTTTAGACTTACACATAATAGTTGTACTAACTCAGTACACTTAAGAAATTTAAATTCAGTGCTAGACTTAACTAGGTTAATAATGCATGCTGTATTGCAGATACTTGATACTAATAGACATTAATAACAATGTCTTAACCAGTTTAACCTAATACTCCTCTGCATCTTGCCAAATGCTACCAGTTTAGCCCAGAGTGCAGAAGCAGCCTCTGTAGCATTTAGCCACCACAGAACCGCAGCAGGTGGGAACTTAGTAACTCGCCTCTCTCGACACTGCTTTTCAAGCATCACTGATTGACATTAGATGAAATTTAGAAGAAAAGCAGAGACCCAAGGGAAGTTGGGCTGGAGAGAATGACAACACACAGACAAGTAAACAAGGTAGAGAGACACAGGCACAATATGCAAATATATGGCAGCAAGAGCCAATACGAATGATAAGTTTTCTCAAGGTTACGTTGACCACACATTTGTCAGTATATAAAGGAATGTCTGAAATTGACAAAAAGCATGAAAAGTCCAAATCATTTAAATGTAAGCATTAGAATATTCTGTCAGCACAACCGCTGAATTAGCTGATGTTTTAGCTAAAAACATTAGAATATATTTTGCTTGTGCTGAGGCAACCAGCTACTCCTTACAGGTGTCAAGACTATTTCATGTGCAACCATCACATAACGTATTTAATTCTAATGTTGTCTGTTACAAGTCTGATTATCATCATTGCCCAACGAAAAACAAGGGTCTCCAAAATGCTAAGTTTACAGAAGAGAGCAAAAATCCTCTCTATTTTCAATGTAAGTTAATGTAAATAGATTTTAATCCATGCAATTTTGGAGTGTTTCTGTTGGTCCATTCATCATCACTTTTCTAACAATGTAAAGGGCAGCTGCTGAGCTCAAATGATGTAGAAAAGTAACAGTTGACAAACATGTTTTTCTTTGGACAGTGACAATATCTAGTTAGAAGAGGGAAAGACAATCCAGCCACACTAAATCTTGAACAAAGTTTTAAAACAACCTTTTATTGGCCTACTTGTGTTAAACTTAAACTTATAAAAATAGTGAATAGTACATTTGAATAAAGTTACCGTAACTTAAGATATCGCTGTTGTCGGAAGAAAACCTTATATCTCCAAAATGATAACTTTACAGGAAAAGGAAAAAAAACCTACTTTACTTTTAATGTAAGTCAATGGAACCAGACTTTTTTCCAAGTGATTCTGGGCTGTTTCTTTTGGAACTTAAAGGAACTTACACACAATGTAAACGGCAACAGGAATTTTCAAATTATGTCAAACACTGAAAAACAGCAAAAATGGAGACACATGGTTTTCTTCCAACAGCAGCGATATGCTAAACAACCTTACTCAAAATCAGAGTTACTACATCAACGATTCATTTTTGAGTTAGTTTCAATTTTCCGATAAAGTTACAGCAACTTTCTGTAGTATTTAAGTTGTTTTAAATGAATTCCTTCAGTAAGATGTGCAGGTGGGCTTTACAGTGCGGCCTTAATGAGCTTCGACAGCATTTTGTTCAAAACAAACATGACGCGCTCCGCGTGAAGTGACGTATCTCAAGTGGGCGTGTTTTGCATTCCCTGTTGGGGTTTTCCGCGCGCTGTGAGGGGGCGGGGCGCTGCGAGCTCGCGGGCTCTTTAAGAGCGCTGGTGCTTTTCTTGGCATTTAAAGAGCGTTGGAGCGGCGTGCGCGCGGGGCCAAACGACAGTTGATTTCACACACATACACACACACACACACACAGTCGCGAGCGCGGAAAGAGTTGCCGTTTGTTTGTTTGTTTGAGAAAGGGTCCATGGCGTCCGTGACGCTGGGGCAGCACCCGGCTCAGCACCACCTGGAGCCGAGACTCGCGAGCCACGCAAGCAGGAGAGTCGCACGGAAATCCTCGCGAAAGCGCAGTGCGGAGCGCGCGGCCCGGGAGAACATCAACGCCAACAATAACGGCGCCTTCGCGAGCTGCGGCGCGGACGGCTGGAGGAGCTGCGCGGACGGAGGGCTGCCGGAGGGGCTTCGGCTGCGCGGGGACGTGGTAAGGCGCACGCGGAGCGAGAGACACCGCAGGGAGGCGTGGTCCATCTTCAGCCCACCGGAGCCGCGCGCCAGGACGAACAGCGCGGGACAGACGGGACAGGGCCACCTGTTCAACACGCGCTCTGTCGTGACGCGGGACTTTTGCGACGAGTGCGGCAAAATCATACGGAGCGCCGCGCGCAGGTGTGAGAGTAAGTGAAGCGCCAAATGTTGCTTTACAGAAACTCCAGTTTTCAGGCTCAGCTGAAGCTTAAGGGATGAATTACAGTGACAGTTCCACATGATTCAGTGATTAAAATGTGAACAGAGTCATTCAGAGTGGTTTGTTGAGAAACGCTGCGTTTCAGAGAAACTCACCGAGTTAGAAATGTTCACAGTGGTGATGATGGGAACCAGACGTCTGAAGCGTTTAATGCCTCTAAAAGCCACATCACAGAGAGTTACTACATAGAAATGTTACGAATATGTTGCCTGATGTCTGAGACATTATTTCAAGTTAGTTTTGAGAGAAGGTTTAGTATGTTTTAACCCTTTAATGGCTATATGTGTGTCGTAAACATGGCGACCTCTGGTTTGTATCACCACCACTGTAAAGAAATCTGATTCAGTGCCTTTCTCTACAATACACAGTGGTTTTGTGTAAAGCCTCTCTGAATGACTGTTTCCTCTTTAATCTGCTGCTTTACTGTCCAGCACTGTCAAGGGGAAAAATGTGTGTGTGGTTGGGGGCAGACAGTGATTGATTGTATTGGGGGGAGGAGGCTGAGTAAGGAGGATCAGTTCTAAGTCCTGCACATGTGACCGTTTTGTACTCTTCTTAGTTTGGCTGGTATTTCCTGCTGTAGGGGGCTGTTTTTGTGTCTTGAATCATGTCATAACATCGTCCCAGAGCATTTAATCAAAACAAGGCCTTTAGATACGGGCCAGGGGGTTTACAGAGGAAGCAGGGTACAGAAGGATGGAGGGGGGGTCCCTAGCAGGGGTCACTGTTTGTTTTTCTGTTTCACTATATGTCATGTTTATTGACAGACTATCTGCCCCCGAGCTGTTAGTCAGTGGAGCTTGACCAATCACAGGTCTTCTTTGGGTGATTTGAGGCTGGTGCTAACAGTATGATTGGGCCCTGTGGTCTTAGGCCCGCCCACTTTTGTTATTGGCCCACCCAATAATATTAAGATCTTCTTAATAAGTAAGACAGAAGCACAAATAATAAACTTGCAAAATACGTGCTATATTCAAAATCCTGTTTTTGACATTGACCACTCAGAATTCTGGTTTGTTCAGTGACCATAAGTGTGAGAATGTTTTAGAATGATGCACAACACCGTCATTGCTGCAGATTGACTGAAAGCATGAACACTACTTATTCAAAGCACAAAAATATTGGGAAAAAAATAAAACATAACACATGGCTTGTGCAAAAGTTATGGCACGATTTGTTTTATTTGTTTTGTTTTTTTTTTCAATATGTTACACTCACCTCATCTGTAACCACATTGCACCACAATCACAATATGAATCAACATTATCACAGTATAGTATTTTATCCATATGGTTTTTAGTTGTGTTTGTAAATGTTGTGGATGTGGAACAGCCAGCATCTCTACTATAGGCCTAATTACCTGCAGTGGGAGTAATGGGAGGCCTTCCAGCTAGATAAACACCATTAGGAGGGCACAGTAACCCTCTCCATCACACACAGCCGATTTAGAAACACTTATTCATCCTGTCATCCCGACACTCGCTCGCACTTGCTCACGGCCAGTTTGCGTGACTTTGTTCACACACTAGTTTAATTCAGTATTCACTAAAATTTATTCCCACCAATGATGCAACATAGCACAGTGTGTAATATAGAGATTTTTTAAAATTACATTTTGTGTCAGCTTTAAAGGGGACTTCCAGTGTTTTTGCATTTTTTTTCTAAATTTGTGCTTAATTAAATTGCCATGGTCTCAGCAAAGTTACTGGGTGTTTTAATATGAAATGCTCCTTTGTAGAGAAACTTACCAAGTTAGAATTGTTTAAATGGCAAATGGGTGGTGACGGGAACCAGACATCTGAAGCTTTCAGTGTCTCTAAAAGCTGCCTCACAGAAAGCTATTACAGTAAATGTTTACAAATACAATCTCTGATGCCTGAGACATTGTTTTTATAATAGTTTTCATAGAAGATTTTGGCTTAAAATGTATATCTTTTTCAAATATATTAATGGTGGAGAGATTCATGATTATTTTACCATTAACAACATCATGTATAAAAACTCAGAAGACACATGAAGGTTCACTGGTGATAGATTGACTCATTGTTTTGGAAGTAAAAAAAAAATGACCATATGTGCAAAACAAATGTAAATATAAGGAACCCATGGTTCCTATCACCACCACTGTGTTGGTAAGTTTCTCTGCATCATTTCACGTTAAACCACTCTGAATCCCTTTGTTTACATCTCAATGACTGAATTAGGCAGAGATTTAGACAAAAATCTGTGGAATTCCCCTTCAATGTGTTGGTGAAATCAGGACAGAGGTGGTTCGTCCCGTATTATCTTACTGAAGGGGCGTGCATTTGAGGGAAGATCTCTCCTTCACTCCTCCACCTCCCTCGTCTCCTTCCCCGAAACGATCAGAGCCAACATTCTTTGTCTGTGACACCACTGTCTCAAAAATGACATGAACTGATATGAAACTCAAAGTGGCAAAGGAAATACATTTTATCAGGTTTCTGAGAAACTGAAATTAAAACCTAATAGTGTAGTATTGCAGGTGGAATGATGCTTTGCAGTGAAAGTGAATGTATATGTACAGGTTCTAACATGTCCAGAGATAGAATGATATTCAGTCTTTGCATTTAGCAGGTAGGTATGCTCTTTGAGTCTTACCTGGCCAGCATCAGAGAGATTGTGTGTATGCAGGCATGCCTGTGTAGTGTGTGTGTGTGTGTGTGTGTGTGTGTGAGTGGTGCAGTGCTGAGTTGGCAATGTGTCAGCAGTACTCTGCAGTGTTGGTAGTTACTGCAGTGAGCTGCTTTACTGTCAGTGAGAGGACAGTAAAAGTGCAGGGATTCAGAGAACAGAAGACAAACAGAAAACTGGATTGAGAGTTTTAAGAGGATTTCATGTTCTGCTTCAGAAAGATGCTCTACAAGCCTTTAATTCATCCTCTCCAGTTTATTAGCTCAGATCCAAACAGTGTGAGTCATAATTATACCAGTCTGAGTCACTATGGTACTTAAACCTGATATCATGTACCCTATCATTAAAGCCACAGTTGTTTTTGGACTGCCCCGTTTCTGAATGATGGCTCTACTGATGCAGATTCTGGCTTTAAAAACTGGTGGATTGGAATGACCTATATGCACAATGTCATGTGAGCACAGGCACAGTGTCTCTTGCGTCTGAAACAACCGTTTGATTTACTAAAGCTGGCAGTATAGTTAAAACAATGAAAGAAGTCTACAAATTTGAGTACTGCGAAACACACTGTTGTGAGTATACTTAAAAAAAACTCCTTTTTTAATCATCGTAGTTTTTAACATGTGGCATTACTGGTTCTGTTTTATCTGTTACAGTTTATTAAATCACAGAAAAGCTAAATATCGTGATGCATATTGTGTATCGTGAAAATATCTTGAAGTATTGTGATATATTGTGATTTTTGCCATGTCGCCAACCCCTACCACACTGTACCGTGTGAGAGAAACGCTTTAGTTTTTAGAGGATTCTATTTATAGCCTACACAAATTACTTACACTACACAAAAGTAGTTTGATTTCAACTACTCAGTTTTTGTTTACACTGACAGGTGCAGGCATAAACCCCTAAAGCAATGGCATTACATTGTATAAGGTAGAAATCTGTTGATTTGCTTAGGTTTTTTAACCCAACACTATGATAATGCTCCTTGTATTTTCAACATAGTATGTTAACACCAAGCTAGTGGGGTTTGTTTGGCCCTATGTTGGCTTTCAGTGTCAGCTCTAGTTTAAATAATGATATGATATGCAAGTAACACTTTTTACTTTGTATGTCTCAGCTTTCTTTCTATAAATGCTTGAACTCGAAGTCTGTCTTTTACTGTTGAGCCTCTAGCTGGTTAGCTTTCTGCTGTGCTTTGAGCTTTAATCAGCTGTAGTGGCCGCTGCAAAACTGCATGCTATCCTAGAAATACCTCAGCAACATTTAATGGAACATGGAATGAAAAAAAGTGAGCGCACTTTCTTTAAACAACCATAATCTCAAAATACACATGGAAAAAAAGGTGGGGTAGTGTACAAAACCGTGATGTCATTTCGTTAATATATTTTGCACAGTTCTACAGATAATGCATTCATGCTGATTTTGTAATGACAGTAGATTGACTGGCATTATGATTGTCACTTGATAGATGCCAGTTTTTAATGGCACTGTGAGCGATGATACCCTGATGAAGGTTGTTGAGGCGTCTCAGCTCTTTTCATAATAACTGAAATAAGAGTGCATTCCTTTAAAATTTTTATTTTGTGTCCACTCACTGTCCACACTATTACACTCTTCTGACTTGTTGGTCCACCCTGTAGATGTGAAGTCAGAGGCAGTAGCTCATCTGTTGCTGCTCAGTTTGTGTTAGTCATCCTCTAGTCCTTTGTCAGTGATTGCAAGATGCTGCCCACAGGACTGTTGGTTGGATATTTTGCATTGTTGGACTATTCTCAGTCCAGCAGTGATACAGAGGTGTTTAAAAACTCCAGCAGCACTGCTGTATCTGATCCACTCGTTCCAGTGTAACACACACTAACATACCACCACCATGTCAGTGTTACAGCGGTGCTCGGAATGATACCCCACCCAAATAATACCAGCTCTGAGGTAGTCCTGTTTTGATTACCTACAACAACGTAGTCTAGCTCAGTAGCGTAGCATTTTAAACCATGAACTCAATTATGTTGCGTTTCTAAACAAAGTGGGCTACAGTGTCTCATGTACAGTCTGTCTAATTCAGCTGAATGGGATTTACCGGTGCTTGTCCAACCCTGCGACAATTGCAACAAAAGAGAGTATTTGTCGGCATAAGTTGACCTCAAGTGTATTAATTGTTTTGATAAGTGCCCAAAAGTGGTACCTCTGAACTAAATTATGTGCATGAATCTGTCTTTCCTCCATCTAATATCATTAATACTTACTGTGGGAGTTTGTTTCTTTGTTACTTGTCTG